AGCGATGGGTCGAGTAAGGCTTATCGGGAACACTGCCGAAACGTTAAAATCCATAAGGAAATGAATGGAATGGGCGCGCATACTCTTGTTTATCAGGTAGCCATTGTGTTGTGAGGGTGGGCCATTCTAATGCCGTACTCAGGATCATATCATAAAGGAAAGGTGCGTTCTTCTTCCATGTCTTGTATTCTGTTCCACCCATTAGTTAGGTCGGGAGACACCCCACTACAGATTGGGCAACGTACCTTCGTTAATGATCTTCTCCTCAGTGCGCTCCTCCTCCTGCTCTTCTTGCTCCTCAATGAAACCTAGCGGGAGGAAGGATTAGTTAAGCTCGCGCAACAGAATCCGGGGGGCCACCTCTCACCATCATCGTAAGGCTCCATGGTTGTGGGGAAGACGGTTGAAAAGGCTGAGTATCAGAATACTTCCAAATAGGGTCGATTGCTCAGGATCGTAATGCAGCGGAGTAGAAGAGGTGGGGTTGAGATAACCAAGTGGGATCTGGGAATGGCAGGATAGCAGAGCAGAGCTTTGAGCTGCGGATGAAGCTCTCACTCTCTGTTCGCACTGGAGAAACGCGACTTTCCCTTTGGCGGCGCGTTAATGGGCGCCCGGGGCCGCTAAACCCAGTTGGGTAGGCGGGCTTGGCACCACCTGATTGAGCTTCGGCGTCGGATGGCTGAGGTCACAAAAGTGACTTGGAAGAGTCATCATTCCTTGGTCTCATCTATCTTCACTTTGCCCCTCCTCTCACCTCTGCTCGGCGCTCCCGTCGCCCCATTTCTCTCCCATATTTTCTTTTTGTTTGCCTTCCTTCCCTTGTTGTATTCTACTGTCATACGTTCTTTGAAGATACCCAGTCGTTTCTGCTTGTCTACGACCGCATTGCCGTGCGCTGGATGATTTGCCTCCGAGCTTGGGTGCTTCATTGAAACCTGACGACTACTACGACGACCACGACGCAAGGACGCTCCTTTCTTCCTATACATCTTACGCCTGTATCGCTTGTATCGCCTGCGAATATCTTTTTCTTTTACAAATTTCGCCATGGGTGTTCCCAAGTTCTTCCGCTGGCTGAGCGAGCGGTATCCCGCGATCTCTATGTTGATCGCGGAGAACCGTATACCGGAATTCGACAACCTATACCTGGATATGAATGGCATTATTCATAACTGTACACACAAGGACAGCGATTCACCGACTTTTCGCATGACCGAGGATAAGATGTTTATCGCTATCTTTAACTATATCGAGCATTTGTATGGCAAGATCAAGCCTAAGAAGCTCTTCTTCATGGCAGTCGATGGTGTGGCTCCGCGAGCCAAGATGAACCAGCAGCGTGCTCGACGTTTCCGGACGGCTTTGGATGCTGAGACGGCCAAGGAGAAGGCGATTGCTCAGGGTATCGAGATGCCTAAGGAGGAAGCTTTTGACAGCAACTGCATTACACCCGGTACCGAGTTTATGGCCAAGTTAACCGAGCAATTAAAATACTTTATCAACAAGAAGATCTCCGAAGACAAGGATTGGCAGGGAGTCGAGATTGTGCTTTCTGGCCACGAAGTTCCAGGTGAAGGTGAACACAAGATCATGGAGTACATCCGGCATGCGAAAGCACAGCCTCTCTACGATCCTAACGTCCGTCACTGTCTGTACGGCCTTGACGCTGACCTGATCATGTTGGGGCTTCTGAGTCACGATCCCCACTTTTCCCTGCTTCGTGAAGAAGTCACCTTCGGTCGTCAAGTTCAGAAGAAATCTAAGGAGCTTGAACACCAGAACTTCTTCCTTTTGCATCTGTGTATGGTTAGAGAATATCTGGAGTTGGAGTTTCAGGAGTTGGAACAGGAAGGTGTTTTGAGCTTTCCGTTTGACATGGAAAAGGTTATTGATGATTTCATTCTAATGGCTTTTTTTGTTGGAAACGACTTTTTGCCCAACTTGCCCAATCTGCATATTAACGAGGGTGCTTTGGCATTCATGTTCAAGATCTATAAGGAATCATTGCCCAAGATGGGTGGCTACATTAACGAACAAGGTGTTATCAAAATGGACCGACTGGGCATCCTTTTGGATGCTCTGAGCGATGTCGAGTTCCGCTTCTTTGAGCACGAGTACTCAGATGCGCAGTGGATTCGGGCCAAGAAGGGCGATGTCACTGAACCCCAGGAGAAGCCCAAGGGCTTTACGATCACTCCTGCCCAGAAGGAATTATTCAAGCAGGTCAAGAAGTACGTTCTGAACCGGCCTGGAAAGGCAGCAGAAACGAAGCCTCTTGACTTTGCTTCTTCATTGCCGGCTCGTGACCGCAAGTTTGTGGAGCAGCTGGCAGATGACCTTCGACTACCGTGGACGACCGTCGCAGACGAACATGGTGATCGGTTCATCCGCGTGCAGCTCCCTGGAAATGATAATGACGACAGCGATGATGAGGATGAAGAGGCCTCCGTTGCGGTTCAGCGAATTATCCGAAGATACGATAACGCAAAGGTTCAGGAGCTATCACCTGAGGAAGCCCAACAAGCGGCGGAGAAGAAGTATGAAGCGAAGTTCCAGGAATGGAAGAATAATTACTACGTCGGCAAGTTCGGCTGGGGGCTTGATAGCCATGAGGAGATGAGGGAGTTGACGGAGAACTATGTACAGGGTCTCCAGTGGGTTCTGTACTACTACTACAGAGGCATTGCATCCTGGCCGTGGTTCTTCAAGTATCACTACGCACCGATGATCTCCGGTTAGTGTCGAACCTATGCGGAGACCGAATGTTCTGACTGACTTTTCACAGACGTAAAGAAAGGCCTCAATGCAGATACCAACTTCCGACTTGGCAAGCCCTTCCGGCCGTATGAGCAGCTGATGGGTGTGTTGCCTGACCGAAGCAAGAAGACTGTTCCTGCGGCATACCGGGACCTAATGACTTCTCCGGATTCCCCAATCATCGATTTTTACCCACGTGATTTTGAACTGGATATGAATGGAAAGAAGATGGAATGGGAGGCAGTTGTCAAGATTCCTTTCATTGAAGAACGTCGCCTGTTGGATGCCCTCGCAACTAGGGAACACCTGCTGACCCCGGAGGAGAAAGCACGGAATGGATTCGGTGCCAGTCTCAAGTTCACTTACTCTCCGGAGGTGCAGTTCATCTACCCGTCCTCTCTTCCCGGCGTGTTCCCAGACATTCCGAACTGTCACTGCATCGAGAACATTTTCGACTTGCCGACCATGGATGGACTTGAGCCGTACATTGGATTGATGGATGGCGTGCAAATGGGGGCTGCAGCGTTGGCTGGCTTCCCTAGTCTACAGACGCTGCCCCATGTTGGTCAACTGGGCCACCACGGTGTCACTGTTTTCCAGCAGGAAAGCCGCAATGAGAGCATGGTCATTACATTGCTCGATCCTGGGAGCAGGTCGAGCGTCGAGTTGGCCAAACAGAAACTTGGGCAGCGCGTCCATGTGGGTTACCCGTTCTTGCAAGAAGCGCTCGTAATCCGTGTATCAGATGAACTATTCGATTATATTCTACCGGAACCTACGGGACATGTTGTTTCTATCCCCCATACCCCTGCTCAGATTGATCAATGGAAGAGAAAGGCCGAGCGGATCGAGTCGTCTTACAGCAAGAGACTTGGTACCATTATCGGCCCGGTCGAGTCGATGGTGCATGTTCAGCTGCTCAAGGGTTTGATAAAGACCGATGAGGGCGCTACGGTCAAGGAATTCGCCGATATTCCCGGGCAAGAAACCGACTACGCTCTCCAGCTGGTCGTTGACGATGTGATCAACCCCGATCAACGATTCATTGAACGGGAGGCCCTACCCATCGAAGAGGAGTTCCCCGAAAACTCCCGGGCGTTCATGCTAGGAGAATACAACTATGGACGGCCCGTTCAGATTACGGGTCATGATCATGGCAAGGTGAATGGAATGATTGCAGCGGTGAAGGTTCGGGAACCGGAGTTTGGAAGAGACCGAGCCCGGGATGCTGAGAAGCTCTGTCCTTACATGCCGTCGTACGCCATTGCTCGTAGCTTGCGGCTTAATCCCTTGGTTCTAGCCAAGATCACCTCGTCGTTTTCCGTTGACGTCGAAGGGCAGCGTGTCAATCTGGGTCTCAATTTGAAGTTCGAGGCCCGGAAGCAAAAGGTTCTTGGCTATTCTCGCCGTGGAGACTCTGGCTGGGAATTCAGCCCTAAGGCCGTAGAGCTCCTGCAACAGTATATAATCAAATTCCCCGAGTTTATCGCGGGCATTCAGCGCAATCCGCAGAATGATCGGTACACTCCTACGGACTTCTATCCCGAAGAGACCGCCCTCTTGAAGATGAAGGAAATTCGAGACTGGTTGAAGTCAATTGAGGCGAAGAACTTCGAGCGTGTCCCTCTGGATGCGGAACAGCTTGATTCTGACCTCGTCAAGTTGATCGAACAAGATGCCGACCAGCTGCTCCAGAGCATGCCACCCATGGAAGTGAAGGCGGTCCGTGGCCTGCCCCGCAGCGCCCTGCTGCGGCCGTCCGACGTCGAGCAGCGACTTGGAAACCAGACGTTCAAGTTGGGAGATCGGGTCGTGTATGCTCAAGATTCCGGCAAGGTCCCCATCGCCACTCGAGGCACCGTTGTCGGCCTTACCCGGACACCACGGGCCCTTCTCCTTGATGTGGTCTTTGACGTCTCGTTCATGAGCGGTACCACGCTCGGCGACCGCTGCTCTCCGTTCCGAGGCCAGACGGTTCTGGCGTCTTCGGTGCTGAACGTCTCCTACCGGCAGCTGACCGTCAACACGCGTGCGTCAAACAGCGCGCAAAAGCAGTCTCAGCAAACGCCCTTGACTGTTGCCGGATATGGTGCTCCGCTTGGGCCCGGTGGGCAGGGACAGCTGAGAGAAGCCCCGGCCCCACCGCCCTTGGGTAATTCCTACCGCGGCGCAGTCTCCGGCATGGGTAATGGTCGCGGACGTGGACGTGGTGCCTCCAATGGCGTGGGTGCTCAAACCACGTTGCCGTTCCGGCCTCAGCCCAACGGAGCATCGCCAGCCGGTGGTCGAGGCCGAGGAGGCATGAATGGAGGCGGCCGTGGTGGGCGTGGAGGACCGGCGCGCACGCGAGGCGGATATGTCGCCGTGGACAACGACCCGGAAGCCGGGGTGCTCAACCATAATCCGAACTTCCGGCCCAAGAACTACTCGCAAGTGCCACCACCGCAGAGCATCTCTGGACGAGGCCGTGGTCGTGGTAACAACATGCGAGGAGACAGGGGAACTGGATTCCGGGGACGCGGTCGCGGTCGCGGAGCGGCGGTTGCCGGAGAGAATTAGAGTTAGCTGTGTTATACGATGATGGATTTGGTTGTCCAACCGTGGCGTTGGGATATAGGTTGGCTGGGGTATATACAGAGGATGTAGATGATAGGCAACACCACCAGTGACTCGATACCCAAATGACATGATGGACTATGTACCATGACTGGAACTATTAATCCCCACATTGTATGCAGAAAGCAGAAAAGAAATAGCAGTAGTGTTAACTAAGCTAAGCATTGACCTCATTCCAACGATAATCCAGGGAAAGCCAACATTTACTAGATCATCGGAGATGCCCCGACTCTGCGGAAACGAAGCTGGAAAAGTATCCGCACCCTAAGTTACTATATAGTTTTAACTCCCATCTAATTCCCCATCTTTCCAACTCTACATTCAGTTCAGTCAACCCATAACAAGATACAATGTCCTTCCCCACCTTCGACAACTTAACCCTCGACCCGAACGGACCCCCAGGAAACGCCTGGGGTCTCTTCGGTCCGGCGAACAACGACCTGGGGATGCTGAATCTACTAACCCCGGAAACCGTTCGACAAGCCGCAACCGAGGAAATCCGCGACGGGGTGCGCATTTCCCTGGATCTGCCACTCAACCGTGTGCGACATTCCAGCTTTGGTCGGAAACCGTTCGTCCAGGAGCTGATTAACAAGGCCCCGCGGTTCGTGAATGATGATGTGTTGACGTTCAATACCCAGACGAGTACCCAGTGGGATGGGTTTCGACATTATGGTACCCTTTCCCCTACTGCGTGACTACTTCAAATTACTAAATCGTGAGTATGAATGCGTAGGTAATCAAACACACGGATGCTACTTCAACGGTCATTGTTTGGAGGAGTTGAAGTCGTCGGGTGTATTGGGTATTGATGGTGCGTACTATATATACTACCACTACTACCACCACCACCACCTTTAGCCCTACTCTACTACCGATATATTTACAAACTACCCTGAATAAAATCAACTTAGTATGATACTAATATGAAAAAAAACAGCATGGGCCAAAAAAGGCGGCATAACCGGCCGAGGCATCCTCCTGGACTACGCCCACTGGGCCAGCACGCACTCCATCCCCCTAACGCCCTTCACAACCAGCAGCATCCCCCTCTCGCATCTCCAATCGCTCATGACCGAATACAACATCCAGCCTCGTCCGGGGGACATCCTTTTCATCCGCACGGGCTTCACAGCCGCTTTCAACGCCCTCACCCCGGCCCAGGAGGAAGAGCTCGGCAACCGCCCAGCGCCCAGCTTTGCGGGCATCGAGAACGGTGAGGCCATGTTGCGCTGGCTATGGGAGAACCAGTTCGCGGCTGTGGCGTCGGATACGCCGAGTTTGGAGCCTGCGCCGATCAAGCATGAAAGGGGGATGACCCTGCATGAGTGGTGTTTGGCTGGGTGGGGGATGCCCATTGGAGAGTATTTTGATCTGGAGGAGTTGGCGACGTATTGTAGGGAGAAGGGGAGGTGGGGGTTCTTTTTGTGTAGTGTGCCATTGAAGGTGAGTTTATACTATCTGTCTATCAGTTCCCTTTGGTGTGTTGTGTGATGTGGTGTGGTTGGTGGGCTAATTGGGCTGCTTGTTTGTATAGGTTCCTGGTGGTGTGGCTAGTCCGCCTAATGCGGTGGCTATTTTGTGATCCATGAACCTATGAGTGTGGGGAATAGGTTGCTTGGGGGTGAGAGTGGGCTGTTTGGTGTCTGGGGAATGAGGAGAACTACTTACTATATATAGTTCATGTTGTTTGTGACATTTCCTGTTATGTACATGTATGTTCACGAGAGACTCGGCAGCAGTGTAGAACTGTGATATTGATTTGATATGTGGGCTTTACTACTACATAAATGCTAGTAGGCAACCGAACAAAAGGTTACTTCTATTATACTCATATATTCAGTATACGGTCAACTAGACCTATAAACACAGCAATACTCCCAACTTTTTGCTGTCCCTCTTTTTTGTATCTCCAGGTATACCACAGATCAAACGCCAGGCGCAAATGCAAAGCAAAGCAGAAAGACGGCTGGGAGAGTGAACACAGAACGAACAGGAAGGTCTAAGATTACAGGGGACAAACACAAACAAACATAACAATCATTCAAGACCCACCCATTCTCCTTCACCCTCTTCGTTCGAGTCAGCATCGGACATCTTCTCGTCGTCCGCATTCCTCTCAAGAGTCTCACCCAGCGCCCTCATGGCCAGATCAGGCTTCTTGTTTCCGGCAAGGACCGGCCTTGAAAGGAGGTAGTTGAGGTTGTGGATGTTCTTCTCAGTGAGTCGCTTCAAGCTGTTGTTGATCTCGTCGATGGCGCGCTGCACCGCACGGAGCTCGGGCGCGAAGCTGCCCGAGTTCTCCTTGAAGTATCGGCCGTGGTTGCTGAAAAGCGCTTCGATCCACAGCAGGTTGAACTCGAGATGGGGCGTTTCTTCTGCGGCATGAGCCACGAAGCGGAGGAGACGGGGAAGGTAGACTGTAGGCACCGAGCGGACCACATGGGTGATTTCGGAGGGAGGGATGGCTTCGTGGACTGCCCGAATGAGTTTTTGTTCGTTCAGACGGAATGCCATGATGAATGCCTTCAGGAAGGTTTCATCGTCGTTCACTTCGCCCGTTACAGCGGCTCGCTTGGCGCCTTCCAGGGTGGCCAGGATGCTGGACGGCGTAATCGAGATGTCGAGATCATAGGGATCGAAGACAAGGTCCGAGTCCAAGCTGTAGATCAGCAGTCCTTCGGTGGAAGCTGCACAGAATGCACGGCCGGTAGGCGAGAAGTCGACTGCCGTGACGCGGACCTCGGGACGAGTCGTACGGACTCCGGGGTCGCCACGCTTGGCTCCAGGCAGGTTGCGGTCCACACGTGTCTCGTGGTCGGAGGCTTCACCGGTTTCATCAATAAGACCGCGCGGGCCAGCTTCGGTCATGTCACGGCTGTTGAGGATCTCCTGGGTTCCATCGAGGGAGGTGTTGACCGACACGGTATACTTCTTCAGCATAGAGCCCGTCGCCACGTCGTACAGGCAGATGTACTTGCTGTTTCCAGCAGCGAGAATACAACTACCGTCTGAGCTGTACCTGATGCAACGGAAGGACTTGGTCCCGGCAGCATTCGCAGCCGTTTGGCGGTCGGTGATCTTGCGTCCACCAGACACATCACGGCGACCATCCACTCCACCGACTTGCACAGCATTCTCCACTGACCAGAAACTCAGCTGTCCGTCCAAGGTGGACGCGGCGACCTGCTTTCCATCAGGCCGGAAAGCCACGCTCAGCACATCCGCCTGGAGCTGAAGCGGCTCACTGGTTTGAGTCCGTCCGAAAATGCTCCATACACGCACGGTGCGATCCCAACTGCCGGTCACCAAATGGCTGCCGTCTGCAGCAAATGCCATGGTAACAATGGGACCTTCATGACCAGCCAACTGGTCAAGCAGCTGACCAGTCTGTACGGACCAGATATGAATGTCGAAGGAGTCTGTAGAGCCGGCGCAAACCACCTCACCACTGGGGTCGACAGCAAGCGATGAGAAGGACAACCGGGATGGAGCGGTGAATGTGCGGAAGTTTCGATAACGGATGAGATCCCATGCTCTTACGGAGCCGTCCAGGGAGGCTGTGAACAGAACATTTCCTTTCTTCGAAAACTCGCAAGCCGTAACTCCACTTGTGTGTTCCGTGAATGTGACGAGACAGAAACCAGACTTGACGTCCCAGACCTTGATCTTTCCATCATCTGCTGCAGTGACAATTCTTTGTCCGTCGGGGGAGTAGGCCAATGCATTCATGGAGTCAAGGTGGCCTTGCTGCTTCAAGATGTAGGACTCTGACTGCCATTCCCATACCAACAGCTGTCCATGCTGGGAGGAGCCAAACGCCAGCCACTCACCCGACTTGTTTATCGTAACGCAGTCGATGTTGCTCTGGGACACACTAAACGCGAGTCAGCTCTGTAAATCAGTATCTAGCCGATGATCATACCTCAGCTGATGGATCTGGTTGAATTCCGGGAGGTCATAGAGCCCGAACAGACCGTTCGAGAACCCGACAACCAGCAAGTTGGTGGGCGCATGGAAGGCGGCACAGTTGACCTTGGCATCATTCTGCATGAAGAAGTCCTTCTTAACAATCCTCCAGCGAGCCTCCGCAATATCATCCATTGTTTCCGGGTCCTTCTTGGTCACATATTCCCATCTGAACAGGGCTCCGTCCGAGCTGACTGTATAGATCTATTTGCGATTAGCTTCAGCTCAATCACTCCTGCGCGTAGACTTACTGATTCTTGATCAGCGGAGAAGTATGCCGCCTTTACGCCCTGGCGATGACCGGCCAGTGTAGTGGGCTCGAAGCCCTCTTCGGGGTCCATACTCCATACCCGAGCCGTCAAGTCCCTGGAGGCTGTGAGCAAGAAGCGGGAATCGCTGGACCACTCGATGTGCTGGATCACGTCGAAATGACCGGCAAGGTCACGGTGCAAGACGAAGGGGGCAAATTCAAGCTCGCCATTGTTGTCAGTGCCTGGTGTCGTCGGGGTGTTCCAGAACTGCAGGCGTCTCCCCACTCCGACAGCGAAGTGACGACCAGACGGGGAGAATTGAAGCGCGGAGACACGGCCTTTGAAGGAGAAGTGATGAATGACAATTCGGCGGAGGAAGTTGGTCAAGATGGCGCGGCCATTCTCGTCAATGGTCAGGAGGAGGTTGCCGCGAGGCGCGAGAGCAACACGGTCAATGTTGGTGCGGTGCGCAAAGGGAAGGGTATAGGAGGTGTTGCTGCGGGGAGGGGCGCATCAGTATACGTTGTCTGTATCTGACAGCATAGGGAGAATCGGTAGACATACTGGACTAGGTCGAATACCGAGACCTGATTGCCCACTGGGGAGATCAAGCAGGTGCCATCGGGCGTAAAGAGCAGATTACCTTTGCGATAGACCGTACCCAGTAGGTTGGAGAACTAGACGAGAGATGTTGTTAGATCATTTTCCAGCACTTTCAGTCCCCCTTTTCGCTGCGAGGTCACATTCAACCTAAAGACGCCAAATCGAATGAGCTCACCTTGAAATCAGTCTTCATTGTCGCCAACCGAATCCGTTTGCACGTCAATCAGCAAGCGCTTTTCTCTGCCAACCGGACGATCTTCAAAAAAATCGTCTTGCCAAAAGCGGGCGATAAGAGCCGGGATCAACAGTTGCTCCGGTCCCGAGACGTTAGTCTCCAATAGTGCTAGCGCCATCCGGGGCCATAGCGTCTTCACTAAACCCGATGAGGCAAAGAACTATCGTTTCACATATGCCTGAGGCTGCCAGCATCCCCGGGTGGGCTGGTCACGCCGGTTGTGTTTGCAGGTGTTTGCCTGGGGGGGATTCAGGGGCAGCCAACCCGACCAGCCAACCAGCCAAACCAAGCCAGTGCAAGAAGAAGAAGGCACGTCCTCCAAGTTCCATCCACGCCAGTCCCTCTTTCCCCTTCACGCCCACCCTCCAACAGGCCATTGCTTCCCTTATCCTCGCCTTGTCTTCTTCCCCATCTCTCGTTGCTTTTCCCTCGTACCGTTGGCCCTTCTCCTCCAGGCCAGGGTTGTCGTTTGTCTTTATTTACTCCCGCTGTTTAGCTCTGTTTAATTGAGTTCCAACTCACCCCTTTATCATCATGTCCTCCACCGAGACTGCCTCCCCCATTGGCATTGCCAACGTAAGTAATGGACCATATTTAACCTCCCAAACAAGACACGAAATCTCATTCTAACATCGTCTTTCAATAGCTCCCCAATCAGCGGTATGTGTCGCCAGATGCGCGCCAGCTTATGATATATCCTAACCAATCTATTCAGGCACAAGATTGTCGCCAAGCGGGGTGCGGCCTTCACTATCATGGTTGGTTCATTCGGGATACAGTCGAGGGAAGAAGCCCAATTCTCATGACTTCATATAGGTCGCTGGTGAATCCGGCTTGGGAAAGACCACCTTTATCAACACTCTGTTCTCCACCACCATCAAGAACTACGCCGACCACAAGCGCCGTCATCAGAAGCAGATTGACCGCACCGTCGAAATTGAGATCACCAAGGCTGAGCTGGAAGAGAAGTTCTTCAAAGGTTCATACACACAACACCCTCACCGCTGGACTGGCTGCTAACGCTGTGGGTTGTCTCCCGCTCTAGTCCGCCTGACCGTCATTGATACCCCCGGATTCGGAGACTATGTTAACAACCGTGACTCTTGGCAACCGATTATTGAGTTCCTTGACGACCAGCATGAGTCGTACATGTTGCAAGAGCAGCAGCCTCGCCGTACGGACAAGATCGATATGCGTGTGCATGCCTGCCTGTACTTCATCCGCCCCACCGGACACACCCTGAAGCCCCTCGACATTGAGGTCATGAAGCGCTTGAGCTCCCGTGTCAACCTTATCCCCGTCGTTGCCAAGGCGGATACCCTCAGCCCCTCGGACCTGGCCGTTTACAAGCAGAGAGTGAGCCACTCAGCCATTGTCCCGTGCTGAAGAATGGAAGTTAACCACAGGTGATCCTATCAGATTCGTGCTGTCATCGAGGCCCAGGGCATCAAGATCTACACCCCTCCTGTCGAGGAGGACGATGAGCATGCCGCCGCTCACGCGCGCACCCTCACGGCTGCCATGCCTTTCGCTGTTATCGGATCCGAGAAGGACGTCAAGACTACCGACAACCGGGTCGTTAAGGGTCGTCAATACGCTTGGGGTGTTGCCGAAGTTGAGAACGAGGATCACTGCGATTTCAAGAAGCTCCGCTCGATTTTGATCCGCACCCACATGCTCGATCTCATCCACACTACCGAAGAGCAGCACTACGAGGCCTACCGCGCACAGCAGATGGAAACCCGCAAATTCGGCGAGGCCCGCCCCAGGAAGCTGGACAACCCCAAGTTCAAGGAAGAAGAGGAGAACCTGCGCAAGCGTTTCACCGAGCAGGTCAAGGTCGAGGAGCAGCGGTTCCGCCAGTGGGAGCAGAAGCTCATTGCAGAGAGGGATCGCCTCAACAAGGATCTGGAGGCCACCCATGCTGCGTAAGTTTGCCCAAGTTCTCGCTTATAACCGCACGATGCTAACCGCCAACAGGATCAAATCGCTCGAGCAGGAAATCGAGGGGCTGCAGGGCTCTTCTACTCGCAGCCATGGACGTCGTTAAGATACCAAAGGACCACCGGACACGACCGTGGGCCTGTAACGGACTGTGGAAAAAGCAGAAGAAGTGTGCTTTCGTCTCGACTAATATCTTTACATCTGACTACCCCTTTAAATGTTTTTCTTTCCTTTTGATTTTCGGATTTTGCGCGCTCAGGGGGGCCATGCAACCTGGGTAGAGATTGAGGCCCAGAGTTGTCTGGTGATTTTGCTCTTCTGATTTGCCTGCTGGTAACTAGCGATGGTTTGACTACATCTTCGATAATAACCCACTTGTACTCCGTAGCATGTCAATACAGATTTAATTATGTGCATGTGCTTGCTGCAGAGAAATAGCAAAAAGAAAAGAAAAAACAAAAAAAGAAAGTATGAACCGTTGGTTCCCGTTGATCCGCAGGAATGCGGAGTAACTTTGGCGGATTTGCTTGAAGCTAAAATAATATGGACCCCGCCGGCGGTGAGCCGCGCCCATCGGTTTTGTCTCCAACTTCCGCATTCCGGCCTTCATGTTGGATGTCGAGCAGTGAACAATCTCCGATCCCGCACAGCTTCACTACGCTTGTTGCTGAGAGCATTTCCTCGGTTCTTCAGAAAGAGTGCCAATGCCAGCAATCAAACAGTTCCCCACCCAACTGGCCCACACCCTCAAAACCCACAATGGTAAGCTAGCTCCACGCCTTACGCTCTAGAAGCTCTAGATCCCCTCTGACGTATCTCAGGCCCCGTAAACGCTGTGACTTTCTCCAGCTATCCTGGAACCTATGTCCTCACCGGCTCGACAGATCGTGCTATTCACCTCTCCCGGGCTATTCCCAACAATAACAATGCCTCTGCTGCGGAGACAACGTCCCCAATCCAGAAGTATGAGGCGCACGGGTACTCCGTGTTAGACATTGCCGTCGCAGCAGACAACTCCCGGTTCGCCAGCGTTGGTGGAGACCGCCAGGTCTTTCTGTGGGATGTCGAACAGGGAGGAACAATCAGACGCTGGAGTGGACACAATGCGCGCGTTGAGGCCGTCCAATTCGCAGGCGAAGATGACTCTGTAGTGGTGTCTGGTAAATTCGTCCCAATTCTTCTAACGCTTTTCTTCGCGATCACTGACTATTCTTGCGTCCGGTTCAGGCAGCGCAGACACAACTATCAACATCTGGGATACCAAGTCCAACTCCTACAAGCCAATCCAGACCCTCACCGAAGCCCGAGATACCGTTTCTTCCTTGCACGTACACATGCCCACATATTCTATCGCAAGCGCAAGTTACGACGGTCGAGTTCGAGTGTACGATATTCGAATGGGACGCACCCTTGTCGATGTTCTTGCACACCCTGTTACTAGTGTTCGCTGCTCCAATGACGGCAATGCTCTTTTAGCATCTACAACAGATGGGCGCATCCGCATGCTGGACCGGAGTGACGGCAAATTATTAAAGGCGTTTGGCGGCGACGAGGTCAGTCCAAGTCAGGGTAATAGCAATGCCACTTATCGCAAAAGCGACCTTCGCATTCGCTCTATATTCGCGAAAGCGGACGCCATTGTCCTCAGCGGGAGTGCGGCAGATGACTCCGGCAATGGCAATGGTGCTACGCAGGCGTCCGTATTCGCCTGGGATGTGCTCAGTGGAGAAGTGATCGCGTGTGTCCCAGCCGGACCAGGCGTCAAGGCCGTGAGTGCTGTATCGTGGAATGAGAAAGGAAATTGCTGGGCTGGTGGTTGCTCAGATGGTATGTCTCAGCTATTTCAGTGTCTATTTTCGTTTGTGCAACCCTCCTTTCTCTTTATTTACCACTACCATGCATTCTGTCTTCCTTTCAAACTTTGCACTGTACCTGTTTTCTCACTATGTGGCGCATTGCACGTGGCTAACCATCTGTTCCTCTGCTTACTGGTAACCCATCAGGAACCGTCAAAGTCTATCGCTAAGTTTAGACTGTGTTGTCCGACCCTTGCCCAGCTAGCTAGCCAAGAGCTAGAGCCCAGCCACTCATCAACTAATCCCGACAAGACAAGTCAAGACTACAATACCCCAGCAACCCAGCCAGCCGGTCAACAGGCAAGGTTCCCCGTCAGCAATAATAATCGTCATCAGCCACCAGCCGCCTACGCACAGACATTCTCACCCTCTTGGCTTGGCTTTGCGCTTCCCTTTCCACCCCCCAATGGCTCGTGTTCCAACCATGACTGGATACCATGCGAACTCATAATAAACGCCACCACCACCACCACCAACAGCACGTGTAGCGTGTAGCGCTTATCAATGCACGCGAATGCGAACGGATGTTCTCAGCCTTGTTGCCTGCATTTATCCCCTACCAAGTACCGCTTGCTGGCTACCTTGCTTACTTACTTTCCGTCCTTTTGCCCGCCCACCATCTTCTTCCTTCTCGGATATCGCCGGCAAGAAAATAAAGATAGATAGATAGATAGATTGCGTTGCGTCGCCTCGCATTGCATCAGCTGTCGTGATCATCAGATAGGTAGTGCGTGCGTGCGTGCGCCCACTCCACTCCACTCTACCAGACCGACCAAATGACATAAAAAAAAAGAGAAGAGGGAGAATAATAAGCACCGACGCTACGCTACTTACTTACTATTCTTGGTTCGTCTGCCGAAATAGGGAATAGGTTAGGTTAGGTTAGGTTAGGCCAAGTTCTGGTATGGTGTGGTGTATCGATGTATCGGTGTTAAGTAGCGACTACGTACCCATCTGTTCAATGATTGGATCAGTGTGTGAGAGGGTGGAGAAACATTGAGCAGGCTGAAGCTTTTTTACTTTTCCTTGCGGTTCTGTTATATTGCTCACGAGGCAGTTCAGCTTGTGGCGACAGACAGACAGACACAGTACGGTGGCGCGGTATTGTTGTTGCTCATCGCTCGCTCGCTCAGCCTCGAAGGAGCGCTTGGATTGTCTGAGCGCCTAACTACCCACTGCACAACCAATTGCGGAAGGACGAGTCTACTGAGCGATTTTTGATGACGCGGATATGGGTTAGTTGGGTTGGAAGTAATACAGGATTGAGGCTCTGCAAAAGACCCAACGAGAGGATCAATGTTTTCTCGTCGTGAAACTTGGTCTGTGATTCTTCCATACAATTTCCAATCACCCATATGCAGTTTAGACCAGGGAATATAGAATCGTCAGCCATGCTAGATACAAATCACGTATGTCCGCCTTGTAGTGATTTAAGGATCAAACCCGGGTCGAATGAACCCAAATAGACAACTCCAACCTCGCTTGCTAAAATATTGACAGTGCTAGGAAAAGTGGGAACATTGGGTCGTGGTTAGAGAAAGTAGAGAGAAGAAATTGCATGTCGTAGATCATGAAAGAAGAAAATGCATATATTTCGATACATGAAACTTTTCGGTATGTATGCAGCGTAAGCCCGAGCTGCAGTTTGCTAGAAGGGGGAGTGCAAGCAAGAAAAGGTCAATGCAACAAAGGAAACATAAGGTGATGCAGCGTTTTTGGTATCCGTTTGAGCATAATTCATGAAGAAAACAAGTAAGAATCGAAAGAACATAAGGGAATTGAGCGTGGTTGCTACGCTGAATAACTGAAAATCAAGAATAAGCAGGGTGAAAAAGAAGAGTAAATGCAAAACAAGTGGATCAAGAAACTTTTGGTTGTAAGCAGAAAAAGATCAAAGTTCGAGTGCCGTGATTCCTGCATCGGGTTCGTGGCTTTCCGCTTCGAGGGCGTCGACGGCACGATGAAGCTCGTGTTCGCCCACAATGATGGAACCCGCCCGCGCAGTGCTAAGAAAGCTGATCTCGACGGCGTCCATGTATGGGTCCATGTCTGGCTGCAGACGATGGGTTCTGTAGCCGGGGCTAGTGCCGAAGGATCTGACAGGTCCACCGGAGCCGTGGCTGGAGGACAGGACATTTTTGAAGGCACTGTCGAAAGAGGAGCCACCGCCGTGCCAAGAATGGGAAAGAATCGTGGATACATCAGTATCCTCATCGCCCCGTGCGTGCGTTGCGTCGGCCAGTCGGCCAGCAACTCCGCACACAATACCTGAAGCTTCCAGCGGAAGCTTACGTAGGTCGAGCATGATGGGAACAAGAACCTCTTCCTTAGATCCCAAAAGAAGACTTGTATCGTCATCCGAGTCAGTGGCCGCTGATGAGTCACTTGAGAAGCGGGGAAGAAGACGTTTTTCCAGCAAGAGTGACGCCGCGGGGTCAGCAGCGGTTAGGGTGAGAGAGAGGAACCGTGGCTTGTCGACGATCAAAGCTGTCGTGAGGGCTTCACGGAGGATGGCAATGGAGCTTGTATCGCTCGTGTAGCGATGATGCGCGGCGCATTGCACTAGACGCAGGGTTCTGTCAACGGATGGGACAATTTGGTGCTTCCGCAGCGAGCTAAACGTGCGCGTTTGCAGTTCATCCAGCGACGAGGGTGGCGGAGTGGCAGGAGGGGAGCTCAAGCTGCTCGCCGACCGGGACGAGACGGGACTAAAGCAGCTGTTGAACTGGGATTGGTTGTTGTTGACGAAAGCCTCCGTTGACATTTCGAAATGAAAGCCACGCTTCTCCAAGGCTTCAATAACCTGGGTCTTGCTTCGAAGAGGCACGATGATGTAGTCGGAAAAGTACGTGGATATGAAGAAGATAGAGCTACAGCATGTCAGCCAGAACGTTGCACAAACTCAAGGTCAGCTGCACCATACATTCCTGCCATGGCCAGCGGGCTCGTAAGCTCGAGGACCCGTTGGCCAGCTTCGAGGCCCTCTCCGTACACCTGCATGGCAATAAAATCATCATGGCTGATGGAGAGGCGGCTTTGGCCCGAGGAACTGCTCTGAACGAACTTGTTGACCAGAGGAGCGAAGTACTCATTAGCAAGCTGTCTGGGGCACATGATCGAGCATTCCACAGGGGTGATTGAGAAGTTCAAAAATGCCGGCTGGTAGCGTCTATGCCCCTCTGCGTACCCATCGTCCTCTTCCATTTGGTTCTCGGAGATAGGAGGCACCTCATGGAAGAGAATCTGCATGATCGGATTCAAAAAGAAGGGATATAGGTCTAAAGGGATATGCACCAGGGCCAGCCTGTCTTCCTGTATTTCAACAACAGTGGTTAGCAAGATTAGTCTACCAGGAGGGGATTCCATGCTGCTCCGCGTAGATTTGGGGGGCATCGGTGCAGTGAAGGAGACAGCATGATGGCGATGGTACTTGAAGACTTACCATGAACTGGACCTGGGCAGAGATGAGAGATAAAGACTGTTCCATCATGGTTGTCGATATTCAGATGACGTATTTGCATCAGAAGATCGGGATCATGCACAATCAATGAGTGCGAGTTCAGTGTATGTGACAAGTAGTAGTAGTTAAGGTGCTCAAATCAGCTGCCGTCACCGAATATCCACAAACTCAGGCGACAGAGTGGTTTTAGTGATGCCAGGTGGATACAAGGCCGAGCATACGAGAGAAGATAAAAGGAGAAATCACGATCGGAAGTATGATGATGATGTGAAAGGCTGGCACCAGGCAATACAGGGTGAGGCAGGTGAACGGGACCAGTAATGTGTGGCGCAGGGCAACTCGAATCCTCTGGTGACAGCGTGAGTGGTCGGTGGTCTTCTTTATGCTTTTCTTTTCTTTTTGCGCTTGAGAGTTCTGGATGGCAGACAGCTTGCTTTCATTGTTTTCCAAACCCCCTTGGTTACGCCATTGTTTGAAAGAATGATATCAATGAGAGCCAGCACGCAAGAAGGGAGGAAGATCTAATCAGAGAGATGGTGCGGGATAGACGCAACACGGGGGATCGGGTAGAGCAGGGAAAGTGGAAGATGGGTTGATGACGGGATTAGACAGAATAAGGAGGTAGTGAGGACTGGAGAGTAGGTGGAAGGGAAGTTGAAGTTGTCGTGGTGGTTGATTCTCGAGAGGGGAGAAGAAGAGAGCAGGTGACTTGAGCTTCTGCTCTTCTTCCTGCACTTCCTCTTTCTCTTTCTCTCCTCCTCACTTCTAATTCCTCGGCAACCCTCGAAGTTCCCCTTTCTTTCCTGTCTCACTTTCTCTCAATCCTTTTGCTTCAGACTGGTTCAATTACCTGTCTGTCTCCAGTTGACTCTGAAAATGTTACACTTCAACCGCCACACCGGAGATCCGCTGAAAGACCCGGCGGAGTCAGCCTGCCCAAGGTACGACACCGGGGGGATCAAAAAAGAAAAGAAAAGAAAAGAGCTAAGGCACACTTGACAGAATGAGGGGAAGGAGAAGGAAAAGAAAATAAAAATAAAAAAATAAAAAATTCGAAGCAACCTGTTTGAGCACTGACTGATTGGCGGTTTAGGCACGTGGACTGCTTCTTTTGCGCGCCGCCAGAATGACTCCTCTTATCCAGACTTTAAGAGCAAAAGATCAGACGAACCTTTTACCTAATAATCCATCCGTGGGAACACACCCAAATCAGCGTCTCGGCTTTATCTCCAGCTCCACCGACCCAGCACCTTATCAGCAGCACCAGCAAATCCCCTCGATCGCCACCCCGCGCTAGGCGCCGGTACCGATGTTGCCCTGTGCTCTCCGGTGCATCATTCAGGCGCACGGATCGAGCATTAATCTAATGGCTGATGTCTGGCGGGAGCAGGATTCGACGGTCAGAGCGAGGCAGGATTTCCTCTGCTGCTGCTCATCGGCTCCCCGCACTTTCCAGGGGCAAGGATGTTGTGCGATGAACGTGTGGGAGTGTAAGCTAGTCAGGCACCACGGTCGCTCCAGTTCCATCCATCCGGTCACACAGATGATCCTGCATTGCATCGGAGAAGCACAACCATGAAGTTCGTAGATGAGGCACTATTCAGCAATTTACTACTACAAAAGTATTAGACTTAAGGGAAGGTCGGAATGGGCTCATGGACTCGTTATCGCTTCCACCAGGCGCCAGCGCCAGCACCATCAGCAAACACGGTTACGGTGTACTCTAGCAGTGGATCTTGTTCCATTCCGGCATGACCAACGGAACAACGGCTATGGATGGATACAACTGAACTGACGGGCCCCTAGGGCATAATTTCAGGTGCTATTGCAGCGAACTTACCATCTACAAAAAGATCTAGCCATTCAGAACCCTGGTAATGGCAACCCAAGGATGAGACTTTCCTCATTTTCATAACTTTCTATCCTCAGACAAGACACGATCCTCCCATTCCCAGCCCGGACTGAAATCAAGCCCATGCAACCCACCACTTACATCCCGACCTTCAGCCACTCTCTCTTATCTTGGACCCTCGGATCAAACCTACCGACCCCCCTCCCAATCGTTCATCACCACAACTCTTTCCCAGCCAGCCAGCCAGCCAGCCAGCCAGCAGCAGCAGCGTCTCTCCTCCAATGCGCTTGGAGCGCTACCACTTAGAAACCAACCCGATCGTCAGTATCCCCTCCTTCTCAGCAGCAACAAAGTTCCGAAGGTGGCCATCAATCTCAAACAAGATGACTCGCAACTGCGCAGGTCATTGGCTCTCGTTATCTGCTCGATTAGATCAACGCTCCCCAGCCCTCCTGTACGTCGTCGATTTGGGATGTCCACCATCCAATCAGTTTGGTTATCCGGCTGATCGACCCGACATCTTGTGGTCTGATGTCTGCATGCATGCATACTGAGAGTATTATACAATTGTAGTTGTGGCCTGAGTACTCTGTAGATCTGTCATTCAATCAGCTCAGCCACTATTCCTCTCTCTATAACTATGATTCGTCCAGATCACTAACTGGATGACACACAGAACAGTAGCAGGCAGACATCATACTCCAGGTAGGTAGTAACAATACCAAGAATAGATTCTCTCATCACACGCAACAACCACCATCACCAGCCACTTCTAACCACATTTCACTCCTATCTTATTCCATCCCAAATATATCCATCCCCACTCTGAAATAGTACGTAGTCATGTTCACAGAAAGAACCCACATCCAAATCACTTGATCCGCAACTTCCAGGATTCTCTTCCCTCCTCTACACACACACACACACACACTACATACTCAGATAATCGCATACCCATCCATCATCATCCTCGTATACATTTCCTTGTTTTCCTCCAGTAAGTAAGTAAATCACTAATTCAATCCCAAGTATAGTCAGTCAGTCACTAGTTACAACCCCAAGTCGGGTGACTTCACACCACACCATCAACAGTACACGTACATGCTGATCAAATCCTCTCCTACTTCCCTCCCTCCGCAGTACATACGTACATTGATGATTGACTTGACATGACTATGTGGGTCATTCCGCACATCGGGATTTTATTCATTCGGGATGGCAAGACAAGACAAGAAAAGAAAAGAAAAAGAATCGAATTAATTTGTTCTTGTAAGTCTTTTTTGACTTGAGTAAGTATCCACTTGGTAGGCATCATTCACTACCACTGAAGTAATCAAGTTGAAGAAGAAGCTGTGGAGACGGGGAAAGGGTTTCTATCTTCGGAGTAAATTACCGTCCTATTGCAGTTTGTCTTGGTCTATAGTTACTATCTTACTATCTTACTAACTACCTATGTTATTTTGTTGAGTTAGTATAGTGTGGTGGCGATGGCACATCTTCAGGCAGTCAGTCAGTCATAGATAGGGAATGACCTACGTAGTCAGTCTACTGCTATGTAGTTCGGTCATAACTTACCCATGATAAGCAAGCACATCTACTCCACTAACCCGTCTAGACTATCATAAGTGAGAACAGAGCAAATCACCACTTTTTGCATTTTCTCTTTTGCAACACTAAAAATAAAAGGAAGAGTATAAACCGGTGAACACACACACAACGCCCGCAGCAATGCACATAGTAAAACCCCCAAAAGCAAAGAATAAGAGACCATTTGAATACAGATGACACAGCGCACGTATAGGTAAATATCTAACCCCGCGTATGTTAAAGTAGTAAAAAATAATAAAGGTATAGTTATTCACAAACAACACGATTAATCATCATCGACACGCGCCCGTTTGGAGCCCCGTTCCGAACGGTCGACTTCCTGGATACCGTAGCGCTTTTGGCCTGCGCCGGAGCTAGTGACGTCGGCGATCATGCTGTCGATGCCGAAGGGGTCGGTGGTATCTTTTTCGAATTGCACGGGGCCGTCACGAGCCTGGATAGGTGTCAGTTGGATATGTCTATTTCTTGGATGAGAAAGTAGGAGGGGCATACCTCAGCTATGTCGGCACCGCGGAACCCTTCCTTCGCTCTACCGAGCACCTCGAACCGATTCTGCTTCTGGATCTTGCTCATCTCGCCCTCGGCGCCTTCGCCGTCATCGTCATCAGCCTGCGCCCGTGGACGGTAGATGCTGTTAATGGCGTCCTGCGCGGCAAACAGCGGCTTGTCGTACGGGTTATCCTCGTTAAAGCCCGAGTCCATGCCGCTGGTCTGATTGAACAGACGCGAGTCATACATCGACTCGGATGCCTGCGTCGGCTTGGCCAATCCCAGCGCCACCTTCTCGGAAATATCCCGGTTCTGCTCGCGTGCCATCATCTGGATACGTCTCTCCGTACCCATCCGCGACTGACGGAGCTGTCTCTCCGCCTCCTGACGACGCTCACGACGCATGCGCTCGCGATCCCGAGCAGCGTCCTCATTCTCACTAGCCGAGTACGGCGACGGGCTGCGGCTGACACTGCGCGAAGGCGAGCGGGATCCAGCACGAGAATCGCGCCGACTGCTACTAGCAGCTGCACGCTCCTCGCGGGCCTTCTGCGCCAACGCACGCAGATGCTCCTCCTTCTGGGCCTTCTCCTTCTCCGCCAGCTTCTGCTGCATCTGAGCACGCAGCCTGACCTCCTCTCTAGCATGACGATCCGCCGTGAACAGCGCCTCCGCAAACTGCGCAAATTTATCATTGATCGACACATCCTGCAGTCCACGTCCATCAGCAGCCAACCGCTTATCCAACGGAACCGTGTAACCCTTAGGATTCTTCCAATTCGACACCGGCGGCGGAATCCTCCACGCTTCCTGATCCTCAGCCGTGAGCTTCCTCGGCGGCGAATGCATAACCGGCGGAGGCGGCGACGGCGGGCCACGAGGGATCTTCTTATGCTTGAACTTCGGCGGCTCCATGGGATCCTGCTGTCTCTCGACGATCTTCATAATACGATCATTCTTCTTCGACGTATCACCCATCTGATTAGCCGGCGTGTACCTCACAAAAGTAGGCTCCGCTCTGCGTCCACCCTTCACGTTCTTCGGCTTCTGCGCCGCCGCCGCACCCTCCACCAAACTGGCGAGCGCGTTCTTCGTCTTCTCCATCTGCGCCTGGACTTCTTCCTCCGACGGCCGATCCAACGACACCTCGCCCATGTCGACGCGCTGGCGCAGCGGAATCAGATCCTTAAACGAGGCATGCACGATCCGGTTATCGCTGTGTCCGCGGCGCGCGATAGCATCGTATTTGACTTTTCCTTCAGCGTCGACCTGCACGGCGAGCGCGTTCGATGTCGAGGACGTGCCCTTCCGGCCCATGTCGAGGGGGTACTGCGCGACTAGGATCTCGGGGAACGCGCCGCCATCGCCAAAGTCTTCGGGGGCGCGGGGCCGCCATCCGGCTCGGTTCTGGTAGGGAGGGGGGCCGGTTCTCTGTGAATACCGTAAAGATCATAGTCATTAGCATTGAGTTATAGTAGTGAAGGTGGGCTAGAGCTTTATGTGGATTGGATCTTGTATGGATGCGGTGCTACCCACCCGGAGAACAATCTGTGTTTCGTCGAGTTGTCCCGGGCCTACGACCCGCGGACCTCGGGGCTGTGCATGTTGTGGTAGCTCTTCCTCCTCGCCGGTGTATTTCGGCTTAGGGAGAGACTTGAATAGGCCCTCCGCTATGGATGCCATTCTGAAGTTGTGAGGGGAGGGAAGAGGATTGGTGGAGGAGGAATATGATGAAATGGTTCTTCGATGGCGAGTGAAGATGGGCTTGGCTTCTTTTGGCGCAGCGGGAACCGGGCGGGTCACGTGCACGGTCACCGCCTTAGAATTTAGTTGCTGATAACTTGTACTTGGATTCGTAGTCTATTGGAATTAAATCTAATGTAATGAGGGTTAGAGTTGATGTGGGTAAATTGGTATATGGTATATATTCGAGTAGAGAGTGAAATTGAGTGTCGACTCGCCGTGTCATGGAAGACCACCAGAGCTCGACCTTATGTATTAGTCCTCGTCCAATGCTCTCGCTAACATACACGAACGTATTGACAAATGCATGCAATATATGAATCAGACGCCTGGAGATATTCAAAAGGGGAAGAAGTATGTGATATATTGCACATTTCCTTATGCAAATATGAATGGAGAGTGATGCCAAAAAGCTAGTAGTGCAGCATGTATACAAAATCAAGAAAAGTAGGGAGACATAGATATGCCCAGCTACAATAGATGCGAACGCATAGGACAAGAAATGTCCTCTGTTTCCTTTGCTTCGACGTAATGCTCCTGTCCATGGTAATTGTACCATATCTTGAGCATCTTAGGCAGAAGCGGAGCCGGGTCGTGGAATCCAAGGATATGGGACTGCATCAAACTCATATCAGCACTGCTAGCATCGCCTGCAGAGGGAAATCATAAACTCACCTTGGCCATTTCCTTAGGGATGGCCAGTTGTCCGTGGTCAACCAATGCAGCCACCGGGATGGAAACATCAGTGACTTCCAATCCTCGGCCACTTTCCCTGTCCTTCTTCGAAGGATAGTAACCGTACTCAGCCCGGAGGATGACCAGACCTCCCTGCTTAGCCTCTTTCGCCTGTCGGCGCTGTACTTGCTCAGTCATAATTTCGATGGCTTCTTGACTCTCAGCCCGCTTCTTGGGCACCAGCCTTCTCAGCTGCTTCTGTCGTCGGGCAATCGCCCGGCGATGTCTCTTCCTTTCCCTTGGGCGGATAAACCCAAATTCGAGCGCGCAGTACGCTAGCCACGGGCAGATAACAGCCATTGCAGCTACATCCACATCGACAAGGCCAAATGGGATAACAGATATGGGCACCCTGATCTTCTGGCCCAGCCTGCTCCAGGACACAGTCACGACGAGGCCCTGCATATCTCGAACACCAACACCAAGACCCATGCGAGTGAAATCGCCAACCTGGCGGGTTCCCTCAATATGCCATCCAAGCGCCAAATCAAGCCCCACTGTAGTCTCGACATTAACACGTACAGATCGCGGCTCATTGTCCTCCGGCAAAGAATGGTGGCCCTCAGAGCTCCATTCCGAGCGTAAACGCTCGTAGGCCGATTTTCCTGAGAAAACATTGCGCGAATAAACGAATGACAATGTAGTTTGCATCGGAGTAGCTGTCACATTCGTCTGCCAAGCTTCGGCAGCTCCAACTTCCTTGCGCTGCTGGCGGCGAAGCATTTCAAATTCTTCATCCTCCTCATCACCCTCCATCTCTTCCTCGACATGGGCTGGGGAAATCTGCCGCTTGGGCTGAGAGACGACGCCGATTTGGAAGAAGCTGGGATGAGTAGGAACGGACATTGCAGTGTCGGCGTTCAACCCGAACTCTATGAGGGGTAAAAAGAAGTGGCGGAAAGGTTTCGGCCAGAGTAAGGAGCCGCTTGACCAGCTACTCACCAAGAACCTCCTATCACCAATCTGCCTGGTAACCTTCAAAGCAAAACGAGGGGGCGCCCGTTGTGGCGACCGATCAAAATCAACATCGACTTGCACACTGATGGGTTTCGCGCCAGGGATAGGGACGAAGGACTTCGTCCAGGTTGTCTCAAGCGCTGGGTGTGGCAACACTGAAGCGTTCACACTCATGACGGAGTTCTGCATGAACGCAAACGGGGGTTTTGCGAGGCCTTTAACACTATAAGGTCCCCCAAATAGTTGGCTTGCCCCGACTCCCAGATTAATCTGGTTCGCGATCAAGAAATACGGCAGCGGCAGCTAAACACAGCGTCAGCAATTTCCTAAAGGAAAGTTTCATCACGCAGTCAACATACAAGGTGAGTTTCTTTCCTGCCATCCGGGAATTTGAAGTTGGCTTCCTGGTGCATCTGCTCTACCTCCCCCGAGATGCCCGCGTTAAATGTCAACTCAGTTTCCTCACCGTACTCCTTGAACAGTTTTCTCGTTTCAAGGCCCTCATCATTGTCACTCTCATTCTCATCCTCGCCTTCCTTTCCCAGGAAAAAGCCCAACCGCGGCAGTGGCGCCTTGAAAGAGAACCCCAGTGCATAATTCGAGGGCCTCGGCGACGGCATTTCAATATATAAGGCGTCCTCCTCCTCATCGTAGGACACGGCATTAGAGGCATCGAACCCAATAGTGATAGAGCCCTATAAATTTTGCATTTATTAGCACAACCATAAATCGCATAATTCCCCTTCATGAAACCAAAGAACGGGAATAATGAAAGAAAAACTCACCCTCGACCCAACCATCCTCTCCACCACAGCCCTCTCCCTCCTCTTCATTACTTCCAAAAACCACCCCCGAAACTCCTCCCCAGACATGGCCCTCACCCCGACCCTCATATCCTTGGCGATCCTGTCAAGAATCACCCATTCCTGCTTCATCCCCTGCACACCCAATTCATCATACACAGCCCTCTTCTTCGGATCCACCAACGTATCATATGCCTCCTGAATGCGATCGAAATGTCGTCGCGCAGAGTCCGCCAACTCCGCCGGCTGCTTATCCGGATGAAAACTTAGCGTGAGGGTTCGGTACGCGGACCGAATCTGAGCTTCCGTGGGGGGTGGAGAGCGCGGAAGATTAAGGATGGCATAGTAATCAAGTTCCTCGGGCGGAGACGAGGTCTCATCCTGATCTTTGGGTGGTGGTGGTGGATTGGAACCCATGGTTATCCGTTATTATTCGGTGGTGCTGGTGAGGTCGTCGCTGTCGCTGTTGCTGTCACTGCAGCACGGCTGATCAAGTATGGATTCTGCGCATATACGCGCGCGCGCGTGTTTATGAGGAGGGTTGTCGAAGAAGCTAGTAGGTAAGTACCTAGGTAGTTGTGAAGCGGGGAAAGCTGGCTGTTCGGTATTTTAATCTTTCAAATAATCATGTTGACATATTGTGAGACGAGATCTGATTCGGAAATCCTTTTATTTCCTTCCTGTAAATAAAGCGAACGTGAATTAATGAGGGGGGGCGCCTGTATGCGCAAAGTGTTTGGCTGAAGGGGAAGCAAAAGAAAGAAAAGGAAAGGCGCACGCATTTTGAATGACGTCGGAAAATCGAAGTCGGCGGTTTCGGCGATTCCGTCAGCCCTTCTTTTGCGTTCTTCCCACTCCCTCCCTCAGCTTCCTGTCCGCCCTTCCTTTTTCATTGGGGGGTACCGACCACATTGGCGGCCCTGACCTTTTGGATGGAAGAAAGGGTCAAACTGGTTATTGAAAGGGATTTAGCTTTGGTACTAGATGATAACTGCTGGATCGTTGTGGCGGGGAGAGATCGAGCATAGCGCCGATAAGGCATAAAATAACATAAGGGGGGAACTACTGTTTACTACCGTGGACTGATTGGGCGACTTCCTAATTTGGGCAGGCGAGCACGAGCTGATTCATGCGGTGTCAAAGTGGGACACTCGCCATGACTCGTCATTTACTACTAACTAGTATCTGGTAAGCTCTTTCGATGCTGAAACTGGTGCTTAACTTAGTTTGAAACTCACGACTCCTGCCGGAACGTCTAATATATCGACTCTACTATACAATCCATGTGCAACATCGTTACTCGTGTCATTTGTAAGAGCAGTAAGCCCACACACCATTGGGGCTACCGCAACATGTATTCAACAACAACTCAAGCCAAACAAGCCTCCCGGGTATAACCTGCTAAAACACAACTGCAACAGCTTTTGTATATCCGCTCATAATGCAAAAAAAAAGTTACATCCCAACAAGGGGTAGAAGAGCTATCAGCTCCTCTCTCTAATCCAAAGGACCGTCTCATCCGAGAAGGGAACGTCGCCCGCTCCCAGTGCGCCGAACAATTGCTCCCGGGGGAGACCGCCATACATTAGGTCTTCGTTCGTCGCCAAATCTGGCTGCTGCTGCACTCCTGCGCGCACCTGGCTATCCAGCGATGGGCCGTGCACGAAAAACGCCGCCTTCCGGTCGGAACCAGCCTGTTGCTGCAGACTTTCATTCATAGCTTCTAGACGCTTTTCTATTAACGTCGCCAGGGGCATGGCACCGCCCCAGAAGCGCGCCAGCTCTCGCACAGCCTCCAAGGCCCCACGGATCAGATTCACACTCTCCGGCAAATCAGTCATCAGTCCAGCCGCACTGAGGACATCTGTCGCTGACACAATCACGTATCCGAGGAAGGGGTTCAGAATGGTTCCTCGCGCCGTTCCCGGCTCCAGAACGATACGAGACGGCTCATAGTCTGCAGCACAACGCATGAGGGCGAGCGAGATCTGGAGAATCTCTACTGCATGGGTCCGCGTGGTGCGGATATGTCGCTCTATGATTTCCGCGCGGATGTTTTGGTATCGAGCATACCGATTCAGCGCCATCAGAGTTGCATGATAAAGTAGATGGATTGACATGAACGCATCCGCTTTCTTTGTTCGGATACTTCGTTCCATATTCACAGCCGAGAAGGTCAGATGATCGGGGAGCCGTGCGACCCATTCATCGACGCGTCCGGCGACCTTCACGTAGAATTCCTCGAAGAGCTGATTGTATGCCTCGGCTGGCACCAAGGACAATCGGAAAACGTGGTCGGATACGTCTCCCCAAAGTGACAAGATCTCAACTTGTAATGCCATAGCACTCAAACTGGCGTTATCATTCTCGGGCGATGCTGGTACTTGATTGAGGAAGCTTTGGAAATAGGGCACGGTGGTATATTCCTGCGCCTCGTATACTTCTTCCCGGCAAGGGAGTCTCAGATAAGCCGCTTGGGCGGAGATGAAAGTCGAGGAGGGCGTATAGAAACAAGTCATGCGCTAGCAGGATGATTAGTCGGAGCCTAATATATGAACAGCGGGAAATGTTTTGAGCTACTCACGTCCATGAGGTAAGCGACCCAAAAAGTCCGCCTGCGACACTCGATCAGCGCCTGGGGATGCAAGCCATATTCGCAGGGCCGGCTTTGGTCGACAATGACCCCACCCGACTCAACATTATACCGGAGTCCGCACACTGTCCGAACTGCCGACCCAATTGCATCCCAAGCTGGCACCAAGGAACCTATGGCGTAGTACCAAAGGCCGACGATGATGCGGCTTTGAGCAAGCTGCAGAGTCAGGGCGTGTCGACTGTGTTCAACGGCATACCGAGCCGTGCGTGAATACCTCTTGAGCGCCGTCACCTTGTCGGGCCGATCGGAAAATACCGCCCCGAGCGTCATCATCGAGTACAGCAGCATAGTATCATCTGAGGTCTTGGTATTGCACGACCGCAGCCACAAAAGAAACCGTTTCCGCGGGAACATGTAGTATAGGCGGTCGTTCACATGGGTGAAATAGCTCTCCACATAATGAACTGCGGCCTCTGGGTCTGCCTCGAACGGATCTGTATGCCAGTCGGATACGAGAGGGTCTTGAGGGTCCAGATCCTTCATCTCCATGAGGATGTCGGAGTAGTCATGAGACCCAAGCGAAACGTCATCGGCTAGACGTCTAGCAGTGTCCTCCACTCCAATGGATAGCCGACCATGACCCGGCATCCTGAGCCTGTACTGCTCGTGGTCCATTACACTATCTTGGGGGCCTTCCATGGCCGAGGGTGTCAACATCGATACTTCAGATCTCGGCGATTGAGAACTGGTGTTCGGGAGGGAGGCCGAACTCTCCGAAGCCCGGATCGCAGAGTACGGGGACTGGGATGCTGCGCCATAAGCATAGCTGCCAGGGGGGAGGCTCTCTCGTGGTTCGTATCGACTCGCAAGTTGTGTCGCCTTTAGGGCCGCACGATGGCCGCGGGGACTAGTGTCAAAACCAAGACAGGTTAGTCACTTTACCAAGGGTCGTCAAGGCACCATTGCCAAAGACTTACGCGCTTTCGAATCTGCATTCCCTCCCGGACTTCTGACATTGGTCGCATTTAGGAAGATTCGGTTGGCATTTGATTTTCTTTTCTCTGCAGGTTAAACAGGCCTGCGCGAGTCGCTTCCTCGGTTTGCCGGCTTTGGTGATCCCCCAATTTGCATTGACCGGAACTCCATCGATAATCTTGGGACAATGCGAACCGTCTGCGTATATGTAGCAGAGACCTTCGCCCTCCACATATCTCTCATCCACCACATGAGAACGCACATTGGATGTGTGAGAGGGGTTGTTTGTTGCTGCAGAATCGGGAGTCTCACTGGGAGAAAAGTCTCTGGTATACTCCTTTTCCGGAGAGTTGAAACCGTAGTACGGATACGATGCAGCTTGACTGGTTTGTACAGGAGATCCAGTATGAATAGGATGTAGCGGACCTTCACGTGCTAGGCCGGGTGTGGAGAGATGGGCTAGGGGTGGGAGACTCCTGGTATGTGAATGCGGGAGATTTTCTGGATAAGCCCGAGGGCTTTCGTGCAGGCTAGGTCGTGGTAAAGAGTCGCTCTGTCGGAACGGCGTCGGTGATGCTGTGCTGCCATTTGGGGGTGTATAGATGCCAAATCGGTGAGTTTGGTAGGGAGATGATGGACGGCTTGGATGGGCTGTGGGGGTCAACAACTGGCTAACTGGCGGAAGCTGTTCATTGGCCGTCTGCTGCTGGCCTGGAATCTTTGAGCGACCCAGGGATGTTTCTTCCAGCTCGCGACCTTCTGCTTGGTTGCGTTGATGTAGAAACGGAGCTGTCCCAAAAGGCAAGGGAGCGGAAGTGCGAGGGGGTGGAAGTTGGTACGGGTGGGATGCTGGCCCTGAAGGATCAGCTGGGCGATCAGACTGTCGCTGCGACGTGGAATCTATAGCAGGCGACATGTTGCTGAAGGAGCCCGCTGGGAAAGCAGACATTGTGGGTGACTATGGTGTCCAAAATTATTCGAGGGTAGCACCTAAATAATCCCGCCGGACAGCATCAGAATCCGCGACTCGGGTCCTGTGATAACGAGGCAGAGCCCCTACAGAAACGGCTTCTTGGCTTTGACCGGTGAATCCTCGTACTTCAGGAGAGGAGAAGTGTAGAAAGCGAGCCTACCAAGATGGGAAGGGGATTAGCAACCACGTCATCGTACTCGATGTTTTCCAAAAAGGCGTGTCAACCTACCAAATTGCCTCCAGCCGTTCAGATTTAAGGAGACACTACTGTCAGCAGGCCAGCAAAGAATACAATTTTGATGCTAATAAGAGAAAAACAAAGGTTGGTGTTGGAGCTTGTTTCTGGGTTCGCCGTTCGAGAAGCACGATTGCCCCTCCGTGAATAGTAGGTCGATCGCTGCCCGGCCGGGGAGGTGAGAACAGGAAGGGCTGGAGGGCTGAAGGGCTGAAACAGATGACACACTCGAAAATCGGCGTTCAAAGAATGGAGATTCTGCAATGACAGTATTAAGTCCGCATCAAGCGGGCTCACTTGCGAGTTACCCTGCACTGGTTGCGGGTAAATGGGGGAAGAACGAAGGTAAGCATCTAAAGGATGATACTCATGGCGCAAATGACCGTAACACGCTTGTAATTCGGGTCGACCTCGCCATTCCAAGACTGTATCGCTTCACAGGTCCAATGTTTGCCACAAAATGCATAGAACCATGCAGAAGAAGTAAAGTCTCCGTAATCTGCAATGCTGTTGGGTTCTCGCCAGACCAGATTCGCTGAGAGGGGATAGGTAGGTTTTGTGTGTACCAGACAACAAAACCGAGATGCGCAGCAGTCTCCGTTTCAGATGGGACAGGGAGAAGGATGGGGGCGGAAGAGTGCAATGGCAGGACCGTGGCAGGGCAGGGTTTTAGAGTCACGACAACACTAGCATGGAAACCAGGCTGTTTGTTGCTGAGCTGATAGTGCCCCAGGGGGTGCAGGTAGGCCAAGAATTATAAACAACTAACCAGCAGGCCCGGAATACAACCGCCCAAATTACAGATCTCTTGGGAGTGTAGTAGTAATATCAACTAAATCACCCTGCAAGAGCCGCTCCGAGGTAATTTGGTTGGTTCAGTGGATCAGTGGTCAGTGGTCAAGCTGGCCTGATGTTGGCCGAACAGCTCCTGCCACTAATGAGGAGTAGAAAGGGAAAAAATAATATTGGGCCCTGAGCTAGACAGCCAGTTTGCACCAAATGAGAGGGAAAAAAATAAGAATAAAAATAATAAAGCCTGATAGCGCGGGGCACTGGATAGGATGAGGATGGAGCAATTGTGGTTAAATAGCGCTGTTTGCTTAGTCGAGGCCAAGGTGGAAATGCCCCTGTCAGTTTTGGCCGGTGCTAAGGACTGTAGTAGTAAAGTAGAAGTAGTAGTAGGGTAGAAGGGCGGAGACGCCAGGTTCAAAGGAGGGACACGCTGGGATTAATTTAGAGCGGGGAGGATCGGGGATTTTTGAATAGTAATAAGAATCACGGTCCCTGGAATGAGTGGGAATCAAAGGGGGGCAGAAAGCAGAGAAAAGGAACGAGAGAACGAAGAAAGGGGATCAGGAGGAATAAGAGGGAGGAGTCGGTTGAGTAGGAGCGAGACAAAAAAGAGAGAAGTAGAAGTAGTAGTAGTAGTAGTAGAAGAAGAAGAAGAAGAAGAAGAAGAAGAGCAGAGAGGAGGATACAATCATCCAGTCAGTGCCTGGCCGTCTAGCTGAGGATCCTTTCAATCTGCCATCCAAGCTCAGCAAGTGAGCATATTTTAATGGAAAGGCAACTTATGACCGATCCAGATCAGGATGATCACACACACACAGAGAGAACGAAGCCTGATTCACAATTCCAGCCTGGTTTAGTCCAACGCTTGCCAGTCCACTTTTCGCAACAGTTCCGGTTTAACGGAGGCCCTCCCCAACCCACCCAATCAACCCGTACTATCTGGCATCTTAGATAGTCTAGATGCTCTGGATCGTGTTTACTTTATCCCAGAGTAGTATACACCCTACTATCGAACTATTCTTACTGCGGGCCGGAAGTCTCCTCCTCCCTCCGTCCCCTTCGGCATTCACTTTCAGTTGCATCCTCGGTTCAGCTTCGACCAGCTCCACTCCCAATGGAGACGCGAAAGCGTCCGTCCATCCATCGGGCAATTATTGATTACATCCAGTTTATTCACCTTTCCATAGATGGTACGTAGTTAGATAGATCCTCCCTGGCAGTGTGTCGACAGTCGTCATGGCCGGCCCGGGTATATCAAAAGGATACTGCCACCGGGCGCGGTTCATATTAGGTGCCGGCTGAGATCAAATCTACCGAGAGTCCTTCATTACTAGTTGATAATCTAGATTCATCATCATCATCATCATCATCATCGCCGCCTCCTTGTCCTCATCTCCAGCGTAATCATGCCATGAAGGAGCAAGGTGGCATTTAGACTTTGGAACGGGTCGGCATTAGATATCGTCAGACTCTCCGGCATCCTTTCTCAATCTGGTCTTTGGGAGGGTAGCTGTGGGTGGCAGGTTTTCTCTCCTTATTGACACTGGCCGGCTTTGAATCTGTTTTAATATGAGCATGATTAGGTTTTCCAACCCGACGCCCCGCAGGAGGATCCTCGTTGGTGTTCGGAACGATCCATTGCCAGCTCCAGCCGTTAGTCATGGGTAGGAGACGCTCATGCGACCACCGACCACGGGACAAGCACAATCTTTTCGGAACGGCATTTGCAATTAACCTTGTTTCGTTTGATCGGGACAATGCGTCTGTTCCTTCTTACTAAGTAACTATCATCATGGTGTGCAGCAACTTGCGAGGCTCATCACTACTTAGTCGTCCGTTCCCATACTCGGAGTACAAGAGAAAGCCAGCGCGGAAAGACTGGATTTTGGGCCCTATGGAAGCTGCCAACCCCCGACATAGTGCACACTTGGCAGGTCATCGCCCTAATTAGGGGGGCCGGTAAGAGGAGAGAAAGAGAGGAGGTGGTAGGCAATGGTTAATCAATTACCATAGTAAAAACAAAAAACAAAAAACAAAAAACAAAAAGAGGACAAATAAAATAAAATGAAAATCAATTAAAAATTCAAAACAGAAAGTGAGAAAAAGAAAAAGATCCGCACATGAAGGAAAGAGCCAGGCTGGCAACAAGAAACAAATCCCCCGTCCGAGAGGGCCACTGGATATGCCGACTTGTTTCGGCCGGACTGACCAAACTCGGACGAACAACCTCATCAGTGTGTTCAGGAGAGAGACCACTACAGACTCCCACATCCAGCCAGGGTGAGCAAGCACTGCGACTCCCCCGAGGGCTCAAAATCCACCAGCTTATCGTTTGGCTAGTGGCCAGTACGGAAACCTCCGTAGTCCGTCCTTACGCGAGTGGAGCATTGACTCCAAGCCGGGAAAAAGATGAGAAGCAACGCCCAGGGGAGGGTGCAAGGAACAGCCTCCCAAGTTCGCAGCAGTCCCTCAGCCCATCGAGGATCGCGAGCCTGTCATTCGTGGGGACTAGCGAACCAAGTGGACTGGGCGTATCCGGAAAACGGACAGATGAGGGTCTGCGAGCCGGAGGGCCACGGTTTTTCATTTTTCTGACCTGAGTAGTGAGTCTTTCTTTCTTTCTTTCTTTCTTTCTTTTTGGTTTAATTTGATTGAATTTTTATTTTCTTATGTTTTTCTTTTCTATTCCGTGTTAGTCTTGTCACTGGGGTGGCTAATATCGATGCGTTTGGCTGGGTAGGCTGCTTTGATGCTGTTGCTGACTGGGATTTTGAGTTTGGTGTCTCCTGTAACGGTTTGTGGCCCGCCGGGAACAACGCCCGTTTGGTCCAAGGAGGGATGTCGGATTTGTCTCATCTTCGGGCGATCCGATCTGCACCGTCAAGTGTGTAGCAGACAGCTTGACGGTCCAGCCTCGACTGACTGGATAGCAATTTTTATTCGCGGAAAACCCTATCCCGAAGGCCATGGGGAATGTTGACGAGTCATTTGCTTCCCGTATCTCAAGAGATGTATTGCAGACTTTCTGTCATCTTCAGCATCGACAACACCCAGCCAGGAACATGGATGGCCTCTTGAAAAGCCAATCCCACCCCTCCAACAGTGGGCCGGAGGCTCTCACCCTACGGCCGTGCTAAGCAAAGTCTAAAGTACTATCATACGATCTCACCCACCGATCCCACAGTTGGCGCCAACCGGAAATGAAGTAAGAAGGAGGGGGGTAAAACAAATTTAATCAATTGAGAAATCACGGGCAATAATCTAAACGGGTTGCCTTGAGATTGCCTACTCCAAATACTGACACCCTACTCATTCATATGCCGAACGCCCAGTGCTGGAGAAACCCGCGGCATCACCCACCGATTGGTGCGATTAGATCAGATCTGTGTTTTCCCGAACATAACCCGAGATTGGGCGGGCTTGCCGGGCGTTCCAGCATTCCGATGCAAGTAAAAACTTGCTAGGGCCTTCTCATCCCTCAAGGATGATACTATGGACGAAGTAACTCGCGAGTCGCAACAGATGGGATGTGGACGGGAGACTTCCCCTCCCCACGACGCATTTCATATTGGTTCCCTTAAAGGATGACAGCAACCGTGCTCTCGCCCTGACCTCCCGCCTAATATATGAGATACTAAGGAGGGAACACGGCCTATGCCTTTCCCGCACCTAGTTTGAGCGGAGTTTAAGTGGACATTGTTGCCCTCCGTCCCCGTCGGAACCACTCCTTCGCGCTGCTAGTAGCGGAATAACGGACGGAAATATAGCCATAAGGCAGAGGGCACGGTAGTTTGCCCCGACAGGGTGGTGGTTATCATCGGAGAGCACACAATTACCCAACAGTAGTCTGTTAAGATATACTGTGGTTTACTGGTTTGGTCTGTGGGCTAAATAACCGACTCCAACGTCCTGCACCCTAAAGTTCTAGTGTCTCACCGGCATCCTTCGGCACCAGGATCTGCCACATCTGTAATGCCAATCTCCGCCGTCACATTCGCCACGGCCATCTTGCCCGTACACCCAACAACGACGGGGGAAGGGAGAGGAGGAGAGGGGCACTAGGGCTAAACAAGGACCAGTCCAGAGGGACGGAGGATGCTCTCTGTTCAGCGACCGGCCGTAATGGTCGGAGTCCATATCCGGAACCCCCTGGGTCTTCTCCGATAGGATCAACTAGCGCCGGAGGGGGTGAGACAGTGTGCTTGTGTCGTTGCATATTGGTGTCTCAAGACCGAATAAATATCGC